CTCGGCGCCTGTGGCTCAAGTGGCTAAGGCGCCAGCCAAGTACACCCAAGGTAATGGGTTCGAATCCAGCCCGGGCCCGCCAAACAACAATGATGGCTACAACCAAAAAATAGCCAGGCATTGTGGCGGGCGCCTGTGGTCCCAGCTACTTGGAAGGCAGAAGCAGAAGACTCGCTTGAGCCCAGGAGTTGGAGGTTGCTGTGAGCTGAGATGCCACGGCACTCCACCCAGGGGGACAGCTTGAGGCTCCTGTCTCAAAAAAGAAAAGAAGAAAAGACTCTATGAAAAAAATAAATGTCAGATAGTAGTTCTCAAGTGTGTAAGATCCCTTGGCTCTTTTCTATGGTATTTTGTAACACCATCTGTACTATCCTCAAAGAAGAATTCATAGACGATATCATCTACCTATACACATTATTTCCCAAAATATTGATAGAGTATTCTACCTTAAATATGTTGAAGAAAGAAAGGAAAGCAATTTATCATAAAGTGAGACATATTTTATTTGGTAAATACTTGGGTCTGACCACACTAACAGACATAAGTAGTCAGATAATTTGCACCTGTATGCAGTCCAGCACCTCTCATCTAAAAATGACTGGGATAAAACAGTGATGAATGTATGGAGCTGTCTAATTACTCCAAGTGGCACTGCGTTCAAGGAGTTGGTGAAGTTCCAAAGTGTGGTCTTCTCTGAGTTTACATGGTAGTTCATTCCTGAAAATATCAAAATATATTACGACAGCAGCCCCCAGAATGGGTATTGCTTATTTGTAAGAGAGAGTAAGGCTTTGGGCTCAGATATTATAAAAAATGTTGTCATCCACCTGACTTCTCTGGAGCCCAAGAGCAGCCTTCATTCTGGGAGTGGAATCCCCTGGTACTGGGCCTCTAAGATCCTCCTCCCCTGTCCCTGAATGACAGCAGGTTCTCAGGAATCCTCCAGCAATCAATTTTTAGGAATTTCTCCAGGCAGTTTAGAAATAAATATTCACATTAACTGTTTACCTCACAGGAGTTGTCTGGGGCTAATTTCCTCGTAAACTGCTGTCTTACGATTCAACTTTTTAAATGTCAGAGGCACTCCAAGGTGACTGACTACCAAAACATCCCTACCTCAAAACACACTAAGGGCTCGGAGCCTGTGGCTCAAATGGCTAGGGCGCCGGCCATGTACACCCAAGGTGGCGGGTTCGAATCCCCAGCCCGGGCCCGCCAAACAACAATGATGGCTGCAACCAAAAAAATGGCCGGGCGTTGTGGCGGGCG